TACTTTCGCGTACCGACCAGACCTACTGTATTTCTAGCGTAGTTCTGAAATTCGCATTCTGGCAAATAGAGTTGGACGAAAGCAGCAAAGCATACATGGCTTTTACGGTGCCTGGCCGCCCCTCTACCAGTTCGTCGTAATGCCCTTCGGACTGTGTAACGCCGCTCAAATACTTTGCCGTTTAATGGATAAGGTTATACCGTCACAGCTCAGGTCCAATGTGTTCGTGTACTTGAATGATTTGCTGATTATAGCTCCGGACTTTAACACACATATAAAATATTTGGGACTCGTGGCGCAGAAACTAAAAGAGGCCAATTTGACAATTGGATTAAAAAAATCTAAGTTCTGTTTCAAGAGTCTGAAATATCGAGGTTTTATAGTAGGAGGAGGGACTTTGAGAACCGATCCAGACCGCGTGATTGCAATACAAAGAATTCAAAATCCCAAATCCGCTAGAAAGTGCGCAGCTTTTTAGGAACAGCCGGGTGGTATCGCCGATTCATTAAGAATTTCGCAGAAATAGCAGCACCACTGACGGATACACTAAAGGGGTGTCAAAAAGGGAAGTTTAAGTTAAGCGACGAGGCAGCTGATGCGGTACGAAGGTTGAAAGAGGCGCTTACATCCGCCCCAGTACTAGTACATGCTGACTTTTCGCGGAGGTTTTACGTCCAGTGTGATGCGTCGCATTACGGTGATGGGGCTGTACTGTTCCAAGTTGATTCCGAGGGCGATGAGAGACCGATAGCATTCTTTTCCGCCAAGATGGATAAACACCAAGCAAACTACTCGGTGACGGAGAAAGAATGTCTCGCCGCGGTGTTAGCTGTCGAAAGGTTCAGACCCTACATCGAGATGATGCCGTTCACTGTGATTACAGACCACGCAAGTCTCAAATGGCTTATGTCCTTGCGTGACCTAAACGGACGCTTAGCGAGGTGGTCGTTGCGCCTGCAACGTTTTGATTTTCAAATCGAACACCGAAAAGGGGCTGACAACGTCGTCGCCGACACTGTTGAAGTACATTTAGGAGTGCCTTGACCATCCATATTTGATAGACCTTGTGAAGCCAAATTCGGCGTAAGTGTGTCTGTTTGAATAAATGTTGTGCTGTGCTAATTTTGTGGTTTATGTTTAGGTGGCCGACGGCAGGTCACGCCGCAATTGTGCAATTTATGTCATATGCTCCGAAGTTGACGCAACAACGACCTGGTCGTCGCGCAAAGATTGCTGGATACGCCCTCGAAGCTACTGCGAGGGAAGCACTGGGCGAATACACCATGCCCTGATATTGGCAGCGCGCAAGCGCACCGACGGTATTTCTTCAGCCGGTGAGTGCGTTCCGATATGGAATAAGTGCCATCGGGATAAGCCTTCAGTAACCAGCCGCGTAGCTCGAGCGCAGTACACTCAATCGACCCAGAATCCAAATTAAACTACAAATTGTAAAAAGAAAAAAAAAACGGCAAAGAGAAACACATGTCAAAATAAAGTGCGAGTCGACTGCGCGCATGTGAGCAGTGCTCCAGCACGCCCACCCCTTCTCCAGTATATTTATGTAAATGTTGAATGTTAGGTTAACCAAATTTGTTGAATGTTATGTTAAGCTATTCGTTATTTATGTTAATGTATTTATTTATTCACACATCTAATATTAATTTAAATTTCTAAGTTAACCGTGTTCGTCAACAAAATCCGGCGTCCGGATTTTTGCCAAATTGCGGAATCCATTTTTTTGAAAGAGTTAAATGCAGGGGAGAATCACCGTGAGCATGGAATAAATTAGTCGTCAACTACAACTAAAGGGCGATGGGCAAATCGAATCCGTGCAGGCCCATTGCAGGAAGGGCGGGTACGTCGTGGCCATAAACACCAGGCCCGTCAGCTGTTTCGTTTGTTTTGTGTGTGCATGTAGGTCTTTATGTAGTGTTGTGTAGGTCGAGTTTTTGAGTCTGAACCGTCCACGGGCAGGGTTGGAGTTACCCACCTCTGGGAATACTGAGCTAGCCGAGGTTGCCCACTGCGAAACACTGGACGTGTTAGCAAGAATGGCGCCCAATGGCTTCTTTGAAATCATCAAGATCGCGAGAACCGTGGTTGAAGAAGCAGGTTCAAGCGATCAGCGTATGCGAGATGAAATCAAAAAACCGGAAATTATAAATAAACCGAAAAGGCGAGTTCTCGCAGTACGGATGGCTACTCTTCGCGCCGTACGAAACCGCGACTTACTATGGAGAAGATGCTCTCAAGGCAATTGCGCGGTGGAGGCGACCCTGAGAGTACCCTGAAGTCTTGTTTTAAGTGTTAGTGATAGGTTTAAATGGGAAAGTAAATTGCAGTGGTGGCTTGTCGGTTCAAATTGAGTTCAATTGCACCATGCATAGGTTTTTTTTTTTTTATTATTAAAATAGTATGCACATACGGGTAAAGTTTTGTTAGAATTTTTGTTAAGTGTGTTTTCGCTAAATTGGGTGTCTACAGCGAGACTCTGTTAGGATAGAGTGACCCATGGTACAATAGAGATGTAACCATGCGCTGCACTCTACCGATGGACATCGTGTCGGCAAACAAATTTGACCGGGAAACGTGCCCAAAAGGACTTAATCAACTGGGACCGTCAGCAAAGCTGACTATCGAACCAGTTAATGTCTTCATAAAAAAATTTTGGTTGTCTGTGTGAGCGTGAACAGTTTGGCTAACGACGTAGGTTGAAACGACGATTAATACCGGCTAAAGGTGATTCTCCCTTATAAGTTTGATTGTTAAAGTACTTGTGTTATATTGCGTGTTGTGTTATTGTCTAGTCGTTATTTATCAGTTAATAGTTTAGGTGCTAATATTAGGAATAAATTTAGTCATGAACAAGGAGATGGAAGCGAGTCATTCCTATCAGTTGCGGTCAGGGGGCGACAGCGTTGCGCACTCCGATTCTTGGGAAGTCGCGGAGGCAGGAGTAATGGGGGGCATCGGATTAGTGAGATCCCCTGTAAGGCCATTAGCTCTACTCACCAATTTTAATTTTTAAAGGTTCAGACCCTACATCGAGATGATGCCGTTCACTGTGATTACAGACCACGCAAGTCTCAAATGGCTTATGTCCTTGCGTGACCTAAACGGACGCTTAGCGAGGTGGTCGTTGCGCCTGCAACGTTTTGATTTTCAAATCGAACACCGAAAAGGGGCTGACAACGTCGTCGCCGACACTGTTGAAGTACATTTAGGAGTGCCTTGACCATCCATATTTGATAGACCTTGTGAAGCCAAATTCGGCGTAAGTGTGTCTGTTTGAATAAATGTTGTGCTGTGCTAATTTTGTGGTTTATGTTTAGGTGGCCGACGGCAGGTCACGCCGCAATTCTGCAATTTATGTCATATGCTCCGAAGTTGACGCAACAACGACCTGGCCGTCGCGCAAAGATTGCTGGATACGCCCTCGAAGCTACTGCGAGGGAAGCACTGGGCGAATACACCATGCCCTGATATTGGCAGCGCGCAAGCGCACCGACGGTATTTCTTCAGCCGGTGAGTGCGTTCCGATATGGAATAAGTGCCATCGGGATAAGCCTTCAGTAACCAGCCGCGTAGCTCGAGCGCAGTACACTCAATCGACCCAGAATCCAAATTAAACTACAAATTGTAAAATGAAAAAAAAACGGCAAAGAGAAACACATGTCAAAATAAAGTGCGAGTCGACTGCGCGCATGTGAGCAGTGCTCCAGCACGCCCACCCCTCCTCCAGTATATTTATGTAAATGTTGAATGTTAGGTTAACCAAATTTGTTGAATGTTATGTTAAGCTATTCGTTATTTATGTTAATGTATTTATTTATTCACACATCTAATATTAATTTAAATTTCTAAGTTAACCGTGTTCGTCAACAAAATCCGGCGTCCGGATTTTTGCCAAATTGCGGAATCCATTTTTTTGAAAGAGTTAAATGCAGGGGAGAATCACCGTGAGCATGGAATAAATTAGTCGTCAACTACAACTAAAGGGCGATGGGCAAATCGAATCCGTGCAGGCCCATTGCAGGAAGGGCGGGTACGTCGTGGCCATAAACACCAGGCCCGTCAGCTGTTTCGTTTGTTTTGCGTGTGCATGTAGGTCTTTATGTGGTGTTGTGTAGGTCGAGTTTTTTTTTTAATCTGTACCGTCCACGGGCAGGGTTGGAGTCACCCACCTCTGGGAATACTGAGCTAGCCGAGGTTGCCCACTGCGAAAACACTGGACGTGTTACAATATATAATACTATTGAATTTATTATCAACCCAATCAACACAAATATATTTAATTCCTTTTGGGTTATATTTTGTTGGTATTTTTTCTTGTCGGTCCATTCTTTTCTTAATCGATAGTTGGCAAGACTGCTTAAAAAGCGATTAATCGAAGACGTGTACATTTCCGATAAATAATCATTTCAATATTTATCTATTAACGCTGTTATTAATACATCATTTAGTTTTAATTGATTTTATTCTTATTATACACTAAATTAAATTGCCATCAATCTATCGCTATCAAGCAACGACTCGATACTTACTTCCCGACTACTTGTTCATGGATATATTTCTCAGCCTTAGTACAAAAATGAGTACCTGAAATACACTCCGTTACCATAATAATAATAATTTAAATAATATTACAATAAAAAATAATAGTGCATGTGTTATCAAAGAAACTGAAATGAATCGGTACAATGTACTCGAACATATTCCAGTCGTAACGTCGCTCGATACCATACGATTACCATAGTAATATAATAAATATTAATAGTACTTCTGGTATTTTTGAGCACAGATGGCATATTTTATACAACTAGTACAGTAGTGCAACTTACATAAATAAATAGATTAGTGAAATGACTCAATAGAATACTATACGTACTAATATTTACCTGGTATGTCATGCCGTCGTAACGTCTCTTGACACCTTATTACCAAAATAGTGTTTTTGGCACTTTGCAACACGGTTTGCATATTTTATAGAAAGAGCATGCCAAAGTGGCTAACGCGATTTTTATTTACAAGTTGAAAATACACACAAATTCTACCCACAACCCTTAATTAAGTGCACAACATATTATGGCAAAATCTATGCGAAAATAATTGAAATGTTTGCTGTGCATCGTTGGAAAGAATCAAATTTTTCTCACAATAATTGTGCCATATTAACTGCCTGAGTGTGTGTGAGAGTGAATTTGTGTTTGTGTGTGTGTTTTGTATGTATACAGAAATTTTCTTTTTGTTGTTTTGTTTGAGTGTTCGCCTTTATATACAATTACAAATCCAAATAAGAGCAGACACAAATCCATACAAACATACATGCATATATATATAAATATAAATATCTATATATATATATGTATATATATAAATGGATATATAAATATAAATATATAAATGAGTGTATGTAATTTGTATTACATTTAAATGAGAGTAAATTGAGAAAAACAGAAACGCGTAAAAAGGAGCAGGAAAAAAGGCTCCAAAGTGGAAAAATGCCATAAATCTAATATGCAGCTGGGCGCAAGAGAAATACATATAATTATAAAGAGAGAGGGAGTGTGAGCGAGAAATACTAAACAAAATAAAATCAAATAAAGCAAAGAAAGAGATCAAAAGCGAATAGAACACAAATCTTGTGTTCAAAAATCCATGCAAGGCAAGCGTAGCGAGAATGCTGTCCACAACAACGGGAGGTGCTAGCCAATCACCGACAACAACAGCAACAACAACTGATGCAGCCTCTACAACATCAGCAGCAGCTGTAGGAGTAGCAGCAACAATAGGAGCAAAAACAACAACAACCACGGTTAAGGTAAAAAGCGAACCGTTTTCCACTCTATTGCCAGGTAAGAAAATAATAATAAATAAATAAGCATTCATTTATTTATTTTTATTTATTTGTTTAAAAAACAAAATTTGTTAATTTATTTGATTATTATTATAATTAATTATATTGATTTATTTATATTTATTAATTTATACACATTTATTTATTTTTAACGAATTTTTCAAATAAATAAATTACATATTATATACAACATTTATTTCTTTCAATTTAAATAAGTACACATACATCTATTTTTGATTTATTTATAAATAAAACTAAATACATTTATATTAATAGATAAATAGGCATAAAAGTATTTATTTTATTTTTTTTATTGTATATTTATTTAAATAAATATATAATCAACGTTTATTTAAATAAATTAATTAGCAATATTTATTTTTTGTATTTAATTAAAATAAAAGACTATTTTATATATTTATTTAAGTAAGTAAACTGAGAGTAAACTGGGTCCTCCTGCTGTCGTGCCTCCAAAGCATTTCTAACATTCAAACATTTGACCAGCCAGATGTGTTGATGAATTTCGCTATATGTCGAAGTTAAATCAATTAGGGAGTAGTTTCCCAGGACTTCCAGCCTTTTTCTGGAAAGCTGGGCAGTGGCAGAAGAAATGTTCCGGAGATTCCACTTCCTCCTCGTCTTTGCAGCTTCTGCAAAAGTCATTGTATGGCATCTGGAGTCTGTTGGCATGAATGCCGCCCAGCCAGTACAACATAATTATTAATGTAGTAATAACATGCTGTTTTGCCATCTCGTGTAGAGATTTGCGACAGCTTGTTACTGATATCGAATTTGAAGATATCGAGCTGATGGATTTAATTGCTGCCTGACTGTCAATATATATGTTTATATTGCTAGGTCTAACTTTGAACGTTTCTAGGCAGTCTATAGCTTCCTTTGTGGCCAGTACCTCAGCTTGAAAGACACTGTAGTGTGTTGGAAGGCTGAAGGATAACGGTATGTTGAGTTGCTCGGAGTAGACTCCTCCGCCTACGCGGTTGTCTAGCTTGGAGCCGTCTGTAAAAAAGACCGGGGGTGCCATGAAACCATTCCTCCCTTTGAGGGAAGTATATATTGAATGGAGTTTCCAGTTGCGTTACTGGCACGCAGTACTCTGTTTTTGAAGGGATGATCAGCGTCCCTTCTAGCATTGAGGCATGTCCAGTGCTCTGAGTAGCCCAGGCGAGGGATTCTCGGCGTCTTATAACCGTGAGTGTTGCATTTTCCATTCCTTGTCTTTCCAGACATGGGATGTCCAGGATAGCAACAAATAAATATTTAAATAATTAAATACATATATTTTTTTTTGTTTATTTATTAATATAAAAATAAATTTATTCATTTTCTATCATATTTGTCTATCATTTAATTATTTATGTCGAATTTCTAGAAAACGCCACCAATCAAAATCAGGCCATGTCAGATGAGACGGGCGCTACGGCCAAAAGCAACACCAACAACAATAATAATAATACCAACAACAACAATAGCAACAACGGTAATAATAATAACAGCAACAACAACAGCAATAAAAATCCAACAAATTCAAATACGAGCGGACCTTCAGTAACTCCAACGGATTCCCGACAGAATTCAAGCAGCAGCCTCAACTCACCAACAAACATCAGCAATAACAGCAGCAACAATGCCAGCGAGCATTCGAGTACGAACAGCAACAGCAGCAACAACAGCAACGCGGAAAGCGATCTGCACCAGCAGGAACAGGATCTGCTAAAGAAGAAGAACCAGAAAGCAGGCAGCACCAGCATTAAGGAGGAGGACGGCGGTAAAAATTTAATTCTTATTCTCTACTATTATAATTATTGTATTGTAATTGTAATAGTTGTAGTCATCCCTGAATTTCCTGATTAAACTCAGTCAATTAATTTCTGTAGCCTTATTATAATAATTATTTTATATTGTAATTAGTAGTCTGGGCACTACAGTTATTGTTATTATCTTGGGCCTTTTGAAGAATGTGTTTTTTGAGTCTAGACACCAATATATATATATATATTCTTATATTGTTATCATATCATATATATATATATAACAGGATCTTCAAAGCTATCATCATCTGGCGGAAATTCCTCACTTGAAAAGGGACAAGGAGGACAAAGTCAAATTGGCGCCGCCGGCAACAATCCCAATATAAATCCTAACTCGAATCCCAATACGAAAGTGAGCTCAGTTAGCGGTTGTGGAGCTGTTGTGTCGACTGTGGCTTCCGTCAAGGATGAGCCCGCCGATCTGCTGAGCAGCTTAGTGAACATGAAGAAGGAGGAGAACTTCTCACCCAATATGTCCCCCGTCGGATTTGGTTCAATTGGCGGAGGTGGCAGCAGCAATGCTATCGATCGAGCCGAAACGCCAGGTAAGTAAATGAAAATATTTAATTTTAATTGAAATTAATATATTTACTATTTCTTGTAGTTAAAATGGAGTTGGAAAAGCAACCCGCATCGGTGATTGATGACATTGTTGGATTGGATGCCGAACGTTGCATGAACGAAACGCCAACAGTGACCAATCATTCAAATGCCGCTTGTGCAAACAATTTGGGTGTCTCCATTGGCATAGGCATCAATGTTGCCTCACCAGGTGTGGCCAACAATTTTATGGGCAACAGTAGCAGCAGTAGCAACAACAACAGTGGGAACAACGTTGGCACTTGCTTGGATTATATGCAGCAGCAGAATCACATATTTGTCTTCTCCACACAGTTGGCGAATAATGGCGCTGAGTCGGTTTTGAGTGGACAATTTCAAACGATTATCGCTTATCATTGCACGCAGCCAGCGACGAAGAGTTTTCTCGAGGATTTCTTCATGAAAAACCCCATGAAAATGAATAAGTTGCAGCGACAAAATTCACTCGGAATGGGCATCTGTAATAATATGTCAGTTGCACAAAATTGGCCAGCGGCATCGCCTAATAATAATCTGAATCTAAACCCGAATACAAATCCAAATCTAACAAAAATGTTGCAGCCACCAACGCAGAAATCAAAAACCAATCATTTCAATAATCCAACGGACAAAAGAAATGCATTTATTGAGGCGACTCCAAATGAGGTATCGGTAAATGAAAGCGATTTAATGTGCTGGGAAACGGGAAATGCAAATCCTGCAAATCGAAATAGTCTTGAAACAGATGGAAATGATTTGGGTAAATGCAACAGCAGCAGCAACAACAATAACAGCAATATCAACAACAACAGCAGCAGCAGCAACCACAGCAACAATCACGATTTGAGTCAGGATAATAATATTATTTCGCTGCAAGGCGTTAAAGTGCCCGATGAAAATTTAACGCCGCAACAACGCCAGCATCGCGAGGAGCAAATGGCTAAATTGAAGAAGATTAATCAAATATTATTTCCCGAGAATGATAAGTTGCCGAATGATGCAGCTGCCGCAGCTGCAGCTGCTGCAAATATGGCAAATATAATGATGAGTGGTGCAGGTGGCGCCGCTGCAGCAAGCGCTGGTCAAATGCGACAATTACAACTACAACAACAGTTGCAACATCAGGCGGCAGCTGTAGCGGCAGCGGCACAAAAAACCCAAGAAAATGTACATCTAACGGGCGAAAATGAAGTCCTTTTGCCTAGCGATGTCATTGCCGAGATGTGTGGAACAAAAAATAGTAATTCAAATAATAATAATAACAATAATAATATGACAGCAGCATCAACAACAGGCACGACTACAGCTGGCAATGTCAACATGAATTTGATGAGCAACAATTCACCGGAGTTGATTGCCAATTTTAATAACTCCAATTGTGTGCTAAACATGGACAAGGAAGAGAATGCGCTTACGCCCATGGAATGGACGAAGATACAGCAACAGTTCTTCGAGGAGCGACTGAAAGTGGGCAAAACGGTGACAGCTTGTCGCGGCATGCCCGGACCAGGACCTCCTTCTGCAGGTGCTGCCATTGCCCCGCCAACAACCTCCTCCGCCACCGCCTCCAATCCCAATCCCAACATGCGTAATATAAATGTGCAAGGACCGCCGCCCCCTTATCATCCCACACAGCGTTCGGCATCGGTGCCAATTGCGACCCAATCACCAAATCCTTCCAGTCCCAACAATCTGTCGCTGCCCTCGCCACGCACAGCGAGCGCTGCTTTGGGTCTGCCCTCAAATTCGCCTAGCATGGTGGAGCTGCCCACCACAAGTGGAGCAGTTGCAGCAACCGCTTCCAGTTCAGCCAGTTCGAAGAGTTGTTTTCCCAACGATTGTGGCTCGCCATCGAATCGACATCATCGTGGCAACAACAACAATCTCCTGAATCATCATCTGAATAGTAATCCGAGTACGCCGCTGGCTCATCTATCGCCTAAGGAACTCGATACGTTTGGCGCCAACTCCACTGGTAGTATTCATATCGGTGTCGATATCGATATATATATTATATATCTCTATATATTAATATTTCATTTCTTTTAGCTGACTTAAAGATTACCCGACCCACTTCACAGCGTCCTCGTTCGCCTGGCAATGGTAATAATAATCCAAATTCGAATGCTGGAAATCATTTGCTCGATGCGAGCAATTTGGATGCACGTTTGCCCAATTCGAGTCCAGGCTTGAATTTTAATGCTCATGCCCATTTGCAGGGCAATCCAAACACTGCCATGAATCATCAATATAAAGGGCCCAATGGCAATCCAATGGACGTTAATGTAAATATCTGTAGTAGAAGTTTTATTTCAAACTATATTTTTCAATATATTCAGCAAATCATTTAAAATTATATCTCTTATAAATGAAAGTCGGGATTCCAAGTGACTCCCAGTCATTTCAGATAATCATATAATCTTATCATAATCAGGAAGAACCGGAGCAGTTTTAATGCAGGACAGGGAAATTAAATATTCGTTGTCTATATATACACTTTAATTCTCTTATATTGATTAACTAAAGTTTTAATTAAGCTCTAAAAAAGGTACCCAACGTATTAGTTCAGGAGATTTCTTAGATAATCCAGCCTGCATATTCTTCCAGCTAGCAATCTTCTTAATCTTAGCAGTCATTATATATATATATATATATATAATGCTTTTTTAAAGCAACTACTTTCCATGTCCATGTCTACATCCAACAGGGAAGACTGCCCACTGAGTTCTAATCTAGTTTCAAGCAATTTTTCAGTTAAAGCCCTGTTTACAGATATAATTAAAAAGTTATACATAATGAAAAGTTTATATATACAATACAAATGTAAAGCAGCCTCAGAAATTTGTAATTTAAGCAGTTCCAAGGAACAGATGGGCAGATTATAGATTATTACATGTAGATATCATATATTTACCATATATCAACCATTGAGTTCTTGTATGAAAAATGTTTTTAAGCTATTTATTTATATATTTTTATTCTTTATATTTATAATTATATTTATATACGTATATTATAAATTTATATTGTATTTATATATTTTATTATAGGCATCACTAAATTATATAAGAATGATCGTTTGAAAATTGAGTTTTGTATGAAAAGCTTTGCTGTTTAAAATATTCTTATTTAGCCATTTTTTGTATATATTTATATTTGTATATTTCTAATGTATTTTTATTTTTATATATTTATATTATATATCTAAATTTATATATTTTGTCTATATGATAGTTTGTTATCTATATTCTTTGCAGCGTCAGAATTGTGGACCTGTTGGACCCGTTGTTGGAGGTCCACCTGTACAGTTTGGCCGTCGCTCCGACAATATGCCCCTAAATCCGAATAGCGGCGTCAATCGACCGCCTCCCAATAAAATGGCGCAGAACTTTGATCCGATATCATCGCTGGCCCAAATGTCTCAACAGCTGACGAGCTGTGTCTCGGGCGTTGGTGGTAATCCAGCCGGTGGCATGAACATGATGGGACCCGGCCCCATCGATATGAATAGCATGGATCATGGCGGCATGATGCCCAATTTGGATGCGGCAATGGAGCACATGAATAATGCTCCCAACAATTGTCATCCCATCAATCCGCTGCTCAATTCGATGGGTCAGCGCATGTTGAACCCGAAGATGGGCGCTGGTTTACCAGCCGGCTTCAGTCCCTTAGCGAATGGAGTGGTTCGCGAAGGTTCCGGGCCCGTACCTGGTACCGGTTTTCATGGCATTTTGGCATCGCCGGGCCCTCGGATGATGGGACGCATGCCCGTTAATTTTGGGCCAAATTTCAATCCCAATATTCAGGTGAAGGCGAGCACTCCAAACACTATACAATATATGCCAGTGCGACCGCAAAATAATAATCAGAATAACAACGGAAATAATAACCCAAATAATAATAATAATGGAAATATAAACAACAATGGCAACGTGCGCATGGCGCCCAGTTTGGAGTTCCTGCAACGCTATGCCAATCCACAAATGGCTGGGCCACATCATGATGCGGCCGCTGCCATGATGTTAGGTCCAGGACCGGGACCAGGACCCGGACCTGGCGGACCCATGAACATGAGCTCACCCAACGAGCAACAGCAACAACAGCAGCAGCAGCAAAAAATGAACAATGGCATGAATTTTTTTCAGAATTGTAATCAATTGCCGGGCCTCGATGATGATGTTAGCCATGAATTGAGTCTGGGTGCGGCGGCAATGGTGCGTGGCATGCGTCCGCATGGCATGCGGCAACATGGCGGCCTCGGCATACGCATGCAGGGACCAGGACCAGGACCTGGTGGCAATAATCTTCTCAATCGCCAGCAGCAGGCGCAGTTTTCAGGTGGCAGCGTGGATGGCTTGGATTGCAGCGATCCCAATGTGATGTTCAATAATGGCGCCGGTTCCTGCAACAGTTCGCCGCCCATGTTTGCGCAGGCAGCTGGACCTGGTCAAGTGTCGGGACCTGGTCAGGGACCAGGACCCATGTCCAAGCCGCAGCACTTGAAACCCATGCCTGGCGGTGGCATGTGTCAGGTACCCGTTGCGCCCAACGTGGGCATGCAGGGTCTTGCACCGGGTCAGCTGCAGCAACTGCAGCAGCCACATCCCAATGTGATGGGCTTACCCAACAACAACAACAACAATAACAACAGTAATAGTAATAGTAATCTGGGTGGCAACTCTGGCGTTGGTGTCAATTTTGTGGGACCCTCGTCGAATGATTTGAAGTACGCGCAGCAATATCACAGTTTTCAGCAACAATTGTATGCCACAAACACGAGAAGCCAACAGCAGCAGCAACAAGGTGGCAATAATATGATTGCAATGCCACCGAATTTGTCACCAAATCCCGCATTTTTTGTCAACAAATAAAAGCGAAACTGGCAAAAAAAAAATTCAAGAAAGCTAGTCGCAAATCTAACTCAAGATTTTCTTATAGCATATGTATATATATAAATATACACATATATATATATATTTATATTTATATATTTATATATATATATATATCAATCGGATTCATTAAAGTTTCTTATGAGCTATGTTTATGTATAGTTGCATATACATATTCATCTGATCTGCTATGCTCTGCTCTGCTCTGTACTCTGTATTAAAACGCAATTAAGCAATTCTAATGTAAAATATTTAACATAATATAATTTTACATATATATATATATATATATATATATATATATATATATATATATATATATATATATATATATATATATATATATACTTATATTATTATTATTATCAATATTAAGAGAACTAAGATATATACACATGTAAATTCTTCCATTAAACATGTGAAAACAAACAAAACCATCGACATCATATATATATATATATCGTATATGTGTATCATATTATTTTAGTTTTATATATAGACGAGTTGTGCTCACTTCAACTAACGGGAATTTATTTGTGTTATTCGTAAAGCAAGAAATAAATAATTTGCCGATCGTTCCTAAATAGAGTTGTCACATGTTTGGTTAGCTAAACTTAATTTTGGCCTGGAAGAAAAATCATTGAAATTGATTTCAACTTGAATCGTAACTGGCAACAAAGCTGTTAACCAAATTTAATCGATTGTAATTAACCGATATATTACTGCTTACTATCAGCGGCTTAGAAAAATGCAAACCTACTGCATATAATTTTAAAGGAATTAAAATAGCTTATCATTTAACGCCTCATTAAAATGCACCTTTTCAGGATCTCAAGCGAAACGGATTTCCTTTTTGTTTTTAATTTACAAAAATTGACAGTTGATTTCATATAAAATACTTCATTTTTTTAAATAAAATATTTTTTTCTTAAGTTCATTTTAAATACTTACAAATAGTTAATCTGGGCTACAAAGATACCTTTCAAGATCTTAATTTTCAGAAGCTTAGTTCGAAACTATTTCAAATAATTAGTTAAAGATTGGTTTTTAAAATGCATTTCTTTATTTCATCAAAATTCAGTATATGTTATTATTCTTACTACATACAATTATTGACAGGAAACTTCGGAAATCGTCTCCTGAAATGATTCAAATTTATTATTTATATTTATTTATTTGATTATAGCAGAGCTTTGTGTTGAACTAGTTTTCCATTTAATCATTTTCCTTTTCTGCATGAAAAGCGTAATTTTCCACAATTTTCATAATTGCTGCGGCAAAGGAGTAACAAATAGTTACATTTTTATATTTTGGGTAAGAGAAATTAACAAATATTTATTTTTATACTCTAATGCCGAGGCTATCTTATATATGTATGCTGGTAACCTCCTTCAAATAACCGCACCCAGGAACTACTGCTCGAAAATTTTAAGTGCGCGTATCATCCACAATTTGTAGGTTAGAGTCACCAAATATTGGAACTATGTTAAAAATCCATATATCTCACACAATTTTAAAACTGAAATTACCAAACTTAAAGAGGTATATTGCTAGTAAAACCCTTAAAAAATCCGGAAAATTTTGGACCACGCTCAATCCTGGTGCCAAAAACGATAAATCTGCCACAATTTGAAAGCTTCAGTTATTAAACTTGGTAGGAATATTACTGGGAACCTTTTCTATAATTTTTTTCAGCCACGCCCAATCCCGCCCTCAAAAATTCACAAAGTTAGGCGGTAGATTTTTAAAAATTTCCTTCAAATATTGGTATTTCCTGGCTACACCCACCCTGTTCTTTGTTACCTGTTATCAACTGGTATTATTTGTGGTATTAGAGTATTTCGTAGTCGGTTACTCCTGAGTGCAACTTTCTCACTTGCTCAACTTTTGTTTTTGCATTCAAATGATTAAATTCAAATAAATTGCTGCATTTAGTAGGAGAATAAACTGTAATCTGTTGCTTATTTTGCACTCCATAAATTATTAGAAATTATTTTTATATTATATAAATAATTGTATAATAATAAATATATATTTTTTTTAATTATACGCTTTCTTGTGTATATATTGATATAGATATATTTTCTTTCCCAGTGCTACAATCAAATTAAATATCAAAAGCTCCACAGGAAAGCACTGAAATTAAAAAAAAAAGATTCTTTGACAGATATTTACTGATATTTTAGTCATGAAAGCGTTTTAACAAAGATACCGATATAGCTTTATCCATTTCTTTTGCAAAAAAAAAAATTTTTTATTGTCTTGTATTTCCTCTTATTCTATTTTTATACAATTTTATGGAGTTCTTACAACTAGTTAAAAAATGAATTTTTTATGATCAAAACTATTATAATAAATAATAAAAGCAAGCTGAAAATTATTTTAGTACCTTTCTATAATATATAAATATATTATATTAAATAATAATAATAAATAATAATCAATCAATAAATAAATAAAAACATGTATATAGAAAATATATTAGAAATACTACTATTACAAATAATAACAACAATTATTTTAGTACCTTTCAGACTTATTATAATATATAATAAAAACGAAAGAAAGTTTATTATATTGCATTTAGATTTATTAAGTTGCTTCGATTTTTAAAGTCGTAATTGGCTGTAATTTTGATTTTTTTGCTACTTTATTCAGCACAAACCTCCAATAGTTATTTGTGAGAGCAAAAAAATATATAAAACACAAAATTGACTAAATATTATGAGACGAATTTTTCTGCTATGTCGAAAAACTTGACATTGTTGTGCTCACATATATATATGGGTGCAGGCATCTCCGTCTCCTTTCCACTCTTCTTGCTAATGCTTGGCAAGCGCGCGCGTTTCCGTTTTAGTTGCAGTTGTCACGGCTTTTTTGAGGCCATCAACGCTGTCCCCCCTCCTCCTAAACACATCTTTCGAACCCACGCCATTGCTAGGCTGTCCATCCCCCTCACTCCTGTTGTTGTTGTTGTTGCCGTTGGATTCGTTCTTTTCGTTTCGTTTCGTTTCGTCTCGTTTCGTGCGCCGTCTTCGGACTCGAAGTCGGACTGTGGCCTTGGCATGTTTGTTGTTGTTCTTGTTGTTGTTCCGCTTTTTGTTCCTTTTTTTGTTTTCTTGCTCTGTTCTGCTTGTGTGGTGGTGAGTATTGCGTGCTCTGTAAGAAACAAGATGGTTGGCCTAGCAAAGCAGCGACACACACACACACAACTAAATACGATTGTGTAGCGTCCATTTCGAGGTCCACCCTCTCTCACTCTCATTCATTCATTCACTCAGTCACTGACTTACTCTCCCTCTCTCGCACGCGCGTTTCGTAATACAAAAGCAAATCCACAAATACAAACAAAACAATAACAAGGAGATACAGCTTTGCTGATAGCTACACAAAAATGTATTTAAATATACAGAAAAATCTATAAAAAAAATGAGAGAAAATAAAAAGCAAAATGGCAGCAAAATTTATGGCAATCTTCTGCTTCTTCTTCTCGAAAATGCACTTGAAATGATTTGATTTGATTCTATTGCATTGCTCAGATAAGTGATAATTTGAACATATATATATATATTCGAATGTATTCAGCTTATTTATATTATTCGAGAATCGTTATTTAATATTTTTAAGATTTTCTCTCATAAGATTTTCTTAACATCCTTTATCTTTAATTATAATATGTTTGAACTTTGTTCTTCAGCAAATTATTCTATTATTTTATTTATTTACTTTTTTTATAGAAGAATACCTATATTTTTAATTGTAATAATAATTATCGAATATTTAATTGCAATACAAATGAAATAATACTGATTAAGTATTTCGAACTTAATCTGTTTTTTTTTTTTATCAATTTAAAATATATTGATGATTTGGTATGCCGATTTTAATTTAATTTCTTTAAAATATAATCTAATTTCTTCTGAAGATAGAATCCTTTGCTTAATTTCATTAATAACTGAAGCTATATAATCTGATATATATGACTTAATTCGTATTAAACTGGGTGTCCGAAAATTATACCCTCACAATACACAATTTTTTTAAAAAATAAATTAGCTAGTAGAATTCTAGAAAAATTATAAGCTTTTTTTGAATTTTTTTCACAGAAATTAGAATTCCCATTTTGAATTCTAGTATGACGAACGTTTTCTTTTTTCATTACTGAAAATACACAAACATTATTCATGTATTCTTATTTTGAAAACACAATCAATATTCATTTTTTTCGGTCGGCTTGAGTCGTTGATTTTACCTTTTTATATTGTATTTAGTATTTTAATTATTTTATATTGATTTAGATTTTTAATTATTATCTAAATACTTATGGATTTACATACTATTTTAATTGTTATTTGATAATAGAATAATTTATTGTGTTTTTATTTATTATAAATCTGAACTATTATATATTGATTTCGATTATTGGGGCGAAAATTTCACATATAAAACTATTATGTATCGATGTTGATAGGTCTATTTTTATTATGAATGGACATTTTTATTTTTATAAATATTAATTTTTATACATTTATTCGATTGTTGAGTCGTTGATTTTAAATTTAACAACAGTATTTACTATTTTATTTATTTTTTTGTTATTAATATTTATATATTTATTTCGATTATTGAGTCGTATTTTAATTATTATTAGTTTTTGGTACATTTATTTCGATTTTTGAGTCGTTGATTTTGAATTTAATAACATTATCTACTATTTGATTTTTATTATTCTATTTTATTTATTTATTTCGAATTATTATTATTTTTTGAGCCATTTTGATATTTAAAAAATAGTATTAGTACTTTAATTATTCTTTTTATTATATTTGTTTCGAGAATTGAGGAGATTGATAAAACTGACATTTTTATACTTGAACTTTGGTAATATATTTAAAATTTATATATAAATCATGGAGCTTTGTCCTTTTTTTGCACATATGTTCGCTCGGCTTCAGTGTCAAAATCGAAGTGAGCCGAGAGCCAAAAGACAAATTACAAAATATTTGGTGTGTTCCACATTTACTTAATTGTGTGTGTACATATGTGAGTTGTGCGTGTGTGTGTGAGAC